CTTTTTTATATATATCGCGGTTGGCAACAACTTATTTAGGCGCATTACCGCCATCTACTGGAATGCAGTGTGGAGTGTGGATCGGGACGCTATACAAATTCTCCCACAAAAAAATAAAATTAAATGATAATAATTAAGTTAATGAATCCTATATTCTTTTTTATAAATTTCTTAAGGTAATTAATTAAATAAATAAAAAATGTAGACGTAGAAAGTTTGTCCAAAATATCTTGTATATTTAATTGCAATTTATTTTCTTGTAATCGACTAACTAATTCCCTTCTCTCAACAGAATATTTAGAACAGACTAACAAAACATGTTTTACTGTCTCCTTTTGAAAGCAAAAATCACAATTTCCTGTTGGCTGTTTTCCAATTTCAAATAACGTACTATTTAACCTTGTATGATCAAAACATAATCTGGATATAATGGTTTCCTCTTTTCTATTTCTTCCTCTTCTCCTCATTGTACCAACTTTTCTTTGAATACTGTAAAGCCACCTTCCAGTTCTATCCTCTTCCCACTGCTTTTTCCATCTTTCCTTAAGCTTTTGTTTAGTAATAGATTTTATATCTACTTCACTAAATGGTATCATTATATCAATATAACTATTTTTTGTTGCTTGTTTTGAATATTAATCTGATGAACATCATCTCCTTATTCCATTGATATATATATATATATATATATATATATATATATATATATATATATATATATATATATATATATATATATATATATATATATATATATATATATATATATATATATATATATATATATATATATATATATATATATATATATATATATATATATATATATATATATATATTATGTCTAAGCCTGAATATACTTTTGTTCTCATATAAATACTTCCTGAACAAAAGCAAATGGTAAAGAAAAAATGTTGCCTTTCATCCTCCTGAAAAACAGGTTTTTTATTTTGATGTCCCTTGAGAAACATTCTAGTTCTGTGTAGAAATAACATCTTCTCCTGTAATCCAGCTTATTCATAAAAAAATAGATTTTCATTTCATTCATAAATACCAGTTTGTTACCAGTTTGCAAAACGCTGGTTTGCAGGGACAAATGCAGTATACTTGCAATGATTGCACTTCTCCTAAATGGACATAAACCATATTCAAGTTTCTTGCAGGCTCCAATCTGTTTTCTACAAGGATATCTCTGTATTTCTGTATTTAACCCATCTATCCTGTTATGACCTATAGAAATCTTCCATATTCTAGTACAAGAAAAACATTCCCACAGCATAACACTGTGGCTACCATGTTTTCTAATGGAGATAATTTGTTTCAGTGATATTTGCAGTGGCCTTTTCCATGGATGGATGGATGGATGGATGGATGGATGGATGGATGGATGGATCGTTGGATGGATGGATAAACTCTTGATCATCCAGTGCATAAAGCAGCAATTGAATAGATTAAAGTTTGTTTTAACAATAAAAAAACAAAAATACTTCCATCTCAATGTTTCACAAAAAGTTTTTTTTTTTCTCTATATTTTATGTATTGTTTTTGTGCCAAACATGCCCTCAATTAAGTTGTTCAACTACTTAAAATTCAGACACATCTGTCTGGAATGCTTATTTGAGGAGTTCTGGTCTTTCTCCATGCTGGTGAATTTTTCTCTTATGTTTTTTTTAGGGTAAATTATTGTTGTTTGCGCACCATGCATGACAATTAAATGCATGTCAGACTCTTAGTCTCTGTCTGATCCATTTGGATCAACAGTACATTAGTACATCCTAAATGTAAGTAAAAAGTTGTAAGTAAAATGTAAAGTAAAATGTTGTCTAAAAAATTATTCCAGTAAAGTACAGATAGCCAAAATTTCTACTTAAGTAAGGTAATAAAGTATTTGTACTTTGTAACTTGAAACCTCTGAACACGAGGATGAGGGAACTTCATCCATTCTGATTAATTTTGTTTAAAAATATCAGTTCATTTGCATGTTAATCCACAGCAAAACACCATCACACACTAAGTTTCCTGGACTCCTTTAAATCAGATGCAGATGACCAATTCTGCAGCTCCCTGCCTTAAAAATACAATAATAAAATGTCAGTGGATCATAGCATACTGCAGGGAAAGGGAGTAATTCTGTTTGATTCCCCTCCATGCTTTTATTTAACTACACCAATATAGACATTTACAGCTTTTAAATCTAACAGCTTAAAAGAGAATTTCCCGAAGAAAGCAGTTGTGCACACTCACTAAGATTTAACATGTGATGTAAGTGTTAACCAAACTATTATGTTCTGTATGTTCTTTTTTTCAGCCTTGTATTATGAGAGCTGATTGATACTGCTAAAACCAAGGAGAGAAATCCTTCTTCTGGTAAGCTGCTGTAAACATAATCACATAGTGGCCTGCCGCTAATCCTTAAAGATTTTCAGATTTTCAGCTTGTTAAACAATATTATGTAACTTTAACTTGGGCTGCTGCTTTGTTATAAGACCTTAAACATCCATCTGGAAAGAGAATATAAAGCCAACAAAAAATTTTTTCCCACTAATATCCAGAGACTGTTTTGCACCAGAGAGGGCAGCAATAATCTGAGGGACTATGGTTATTTGAAAGTGGAAGCAGCGAGAACAAACAGGAAAGGTTTTTAATGTCTGGATATGTGGAGTTAAGCTTTGTTATCAATTAGAGTCTAAGCTAAGATTCAAATAAATGGTTTGGTCAAAGGACAGTAATGGAAAAATCATATCAGTTTAAAAGTGAGCAATATGAAGTAAGAAAATTTATATATTTCTAACTTCATTTATTTATATATTATATTTATATATTATTATATTTATGTATAATTATTAAATAAATAATACAAATATACTATATGTTAAACCTTATATAATTGTATTTGAAATTGTTATACGTATATATATATATATATATATATATATATATATATATATATATATATATATATATATATATATATATATATATATATATATATATATATATATATATATATATATATATATATATATATATATATATATATATATATATATATATATATGTTATGATTTTTTTATGTATGTATGAAAATGTTCACCTCTTTATACATACATAACCCTAAGAGGTTCAATTTGATTGGACCCATTATGTGCAATAATAAAACAATCATTAAAAAAGAGATCTACTTTTTTATTTTTTATTTTTTGACCCTTAGGGGTTATGTCTTTACCTAGCCAACTAAAATAGATTTAAAAATATGCTCTTTGTAACAGAAACATTCAGTTTCAGGGATGAAAATGTCTTAAAAAGATGCACATTTTGAATATTTTTAACCATTTCTGGGTTGAAAACTTATGTTTGATAATTATTTAGAAAAAAATATCTAATAACAAACCCTTTTGTTAACTAAGAATTACAAATATATCTATTTTAATTTCACTAAAAAAGTAGTGTTTCTTGTCATATCTAAACTCTAGAGAAACAGAAGGTACTGAACTAGCATTGGAAGGTCTATAGATACTCTGATCCACATTTATTTAAATGAGCCAAGTAGTAGTCTGTGAAGTCCAACAAATGTGTTCAAAAAAGAAAAAGAAGGCTTTTAATAAACTAAGTTACTGATTATAACAAAATTATAACCAATATTTTCTTAATGTATAATGCTTTTTTAACATTAGGTTAGACTTTAGACAGATTTTATTTGTCATTTTGTTTACACAAGTGTAAAACAAAAAGAAATTTCGTTTGGAAACAGCTAGACAATTTCATCTTTTAAAAGTGAAGCCTTGAAAAATAGTAAACATGACTGTAAATTTACAGTACTAACAATTTATATATATATATATATATATATATATATATATATATATATATATATATATATATATATATATATATATATATATATATATATATATATATATATATATATATATATATATAATGATAAAATATAACAAATATAATAATAAAATACAATACAGTCTATGGTGGGGGGGTCATTTATGGGCTCGGGACACGCAGCGCTGGGATGAAATGTCTTTAATGGAGGGAAGTTAGAAAATGTGTAACAAAGAAAAAGGACCAATTAACCCAATTTTGCATCATCTAATAGAATTTGTGATTCAAAGGAAACCCAAATCTAAACTGTGACAAAAAAATGTCAGGTAGTGCATTCACCATAAGCGTTGTTGTCAAGAAGGACAATCTAGACTAAAACAACAGATAGTTTTAATGTCAGAGTGGGATGTGAACCATTAACTGCAGATGTTTAGCTATAGATCTCCTGCATGCAGTGTACCTGAGCTGCCACGCAGATTTGGGTCTCCTTGTTTACTTCTGTAACAGTATAGGAGGAATTTCTGAGCAACCTTTGGGTCTCTTTGCTTCAAGATGAAGAGGCTCTCCCTCCCTGTCGTTGTTCAGATGAGCTCAGTGATTCAGCGTACTTAAAATCCATGAAGCCTCCTCAAGTGTGTGACAATCTCTCACTACAGCTGTCTGTAAGATGTTTGGAAAGTTTAAGACATTTCATTCACATATCTGACTTCCTAACTCGTTTGCAAGAGATCAGGCAAGAACCTGACGGTTTATCGATTGCTTTGAGGAAAAGAAAGAATAACATTGAACAATTCTGTTAATTATTACTTTTGTTTTTATTTGTTTTTAGCTTAATCTGGTCTAATCAAATAATGTCATATAGACATCAATCTCTGGAACAGTTAAAACTGCTGTTAATCCTCTCTTCCTCTGGGATTGCAGTTGATGCTTAGGAAATTAGTGAACATCTAATGAAAAACAATAAAGCCTGGAATGCTGTTCTAAAAGCTAGAAGTAAAATATGAAAAGAGAAAAGCACTGTTAATTTAAACTAGCTGCTCAAGATCCAAACATCATAGTGAATGAATAACATTGTATTTCACAGCTTGAGTATTTGCTTTATTCAATATTTATCTGTTGACACTTTCTTTATTCTTAATAATAACATATACCCTCCCCTATAAAGTTACCCCTTCTTTCTGTCTTGCTTTTTTCAAAGAGATTTGCTGAAGAAGATGTTCAGAACTCGTTTAATTATTTTGAAGCAATTCTTCATCATGATCACTTCCTCGTGTGAAGAGTGCTCTTTAAGTTATCAGTGAACCAGGGTGCATGAATAATTTGTCAGAACCATTTGATACTCATTGCCACCCACACTGTGAGCGGAGCACAGGCAGACACTCGTGGGCTGAAGTGTTCAGCAAACCTGCTGTGTCTGACTGCCGCATCAGAAAAACAAAAAAAATTACCTCTGATTTGTGCTTCAGGATGGCTTTTGCAGATAACATTGTGGATATCTGGACAAATTATTTTGGTCAAAACTCTCTTCTGCAGCCTTTATGGGACAACCTGAGACTAGACTACAGGGACTATGTGAGATCTCCGCTCTTCCCCATTGTGCTGACTGTCTCTTCGTATTTCGTCTTCTGCCTCCCTTTTCTTGTTTGTGACATCGTGGGGGATAGATGGCCATGGGTTCAACGATTCAAGATACAGCCGAGCCAGCGGCCAACAGCCTCTCAATTGCTGCACTGTGCTGGTGTCACCTTGTATAACCATGTGTTTCTTTTGCTCCCTGCATCAGTGGCACAGTGGCTATGGCGACCACCCGCAGATCTTCCAGACCAGGCTCCTGCCCTGCTAGAGCTGATTGTCGGAGTGATAGGCAACCTTCTTCTCTTTGACTTCCAGTACTTTATTTGGCACCTGCTCCATCACAGGATCCGATGGCTGTATGTCACGTTTCATGCCATCCATCACAGGTATTCCTCTCCCTTTGCTCTTGCCACTCAGTGTTTGAGTGGCTGGGAGCTTATCACAGTGGGGTTTTGGACCACTTTAAACCCAGTGATCCTGAAATCTCATCTACTCACAACGTGGTCTTTCATGGTACTGCATGTGTATGTGTCGGTGGAGGATCACTGTGGCTATGATTACCCCTGGTCCACGTCCCGTCTGATACCATTTGGCATCTATGGAGGACCCAGCAAGCACGATGTGCACCATCAGAAACCCAGTACCAATTTTGCACCTCATTTTAGTCACTGGGACAAAATATTTGGCACACATGCTGATTTCAGCTTCTGTAATGCTGTGAGATAGAATGCATTTAAAAGTGGTTTGATTATAAGCATGTACTCTTGTGTGGCTGTATATAACATCTCATTAAAACACAGATGCATGTAGTTCTAACGTGAGCAAGATGTTATTAAAATGCTTTAATAAAAATACATTTAGTCCTTTTTTTGAATGTGTTTCTATTTGCAAATGATATACTGATGTAACAAACTCCAATAAATGCATGTCACCCAGCATGTGTGGCTCAAATGAATCATTAGTCTCATACTTTTTGACACTTATTTAGACTCAATGTCATTTCATGGGGTTGGAGAATTACCAAAATTAAGACAGAAAAATGGAACACCTTGCTGTTTTTTGTTGTTTTGTTTTAATCCAAAGGAAAACAAGTGTAAAAGGAGAACTGGTCCTTGATACATGGGCAGAGAAAGAGGCAAGACAACTGGAGGTTTAATGGAGCAAACAAGCAGGAAGCAGATAGAAATGGGAGGAGCCAGCAGAGAGCAATGAACATCAGAAAGCTTAGGTAGTGTTGGAAAAGTGAAGAATGACTTTGGATCCAGGTGAGTTTATCAGGGAATTATAGAAAGCACCTGAAGTAGAATGGATGTAGACAAACTGACTAAATGGCTGAATGAGCTGAAGCAAGACAGAAAGTCCCAAATAAAGGTTTCTATAGTTATGTTTATGTGTGTGGATAGGGTAGATATGTACTCTACCTATATAACATGTATATGCATCTAAGTAAGCCGTACCAGTGAGGTGTTTATGTTTATGTTAAGTTAATGTTATGAGGTTATGTCTAAGTTGTTTATGTAAGGTAATTGTTAATATATCCATGTACTGTGTTGTGTCTATATGTCGCAGCTAATGTGATGTTAAATTTTGATTGAAAATCCATGCTCTGAGGGTTATTATGGTCTGCCTCACAGGGAAAACTCCAACCCCATCATTTGAATTTGGGAACCTAAAATAATAAGAGCCTGTATGAATACATGGCTAATAGAAAGCATAACAAAAACCAATATAGGTTAGAGAGTTTTACAAAAATAAGTAACACTTAAAGTAGATACAGAAATTAATGACAAAATAAGCAAGATTTTTAATACATATATTATAGTTTTATTAATGTAGTGGAATATCTATTAATGTTTTAATTATAAAATCATTTTAATAACAGCATATATGTTTTCTTTTGTAGGATGATCTTGACCATGACCCTGTAAACTAACCCAGTTATTTAGCAACAGTTGTGTTCTCCTGATTTCCAGTGGCATTTCTCCAGTTTCAACTTGCAATGCTATAATAGATGTTGTTTAAAATGCTCCTGTAATTAATCTTAGAGCTTGTGTCTGTATATACTATATACTATAACTTTTTAAGTGATGAAATAGCTGCTGAACCATAAACCAAACTATCAAAGTCTATTGCTGATCCTATTAATCCTGTATACAGGTGCTGGTCATAAAATTAGAATATCATGAAAAAGTAGATTGATTTCAGTAATTCCATTTAAAAAGTGAAACTTGTATATTATATTCATACATTACATACAAACTCATATAATTCAGATGTTTATTTTGTTTAATTTTGATGATTACAAATGACAACAAATGAAAATCTCAAATTCATCATATCAGAAAATTAGAATATTACTGAAGACCAATAAAAACAAAGGATTTATAGAAATGTTGGCCAACTGAAAAGTATGAACATGAAAAGTATGAGCATGTACAGCACTCAGTATTTAGTTGGGCCTCCTTTGGCCTGTATTACTGCAGCAATGCGGCGTGGCATGGAGTCGATCAGTCTGTGGCACTGCTCAGGTGTTATGATAGCCCAGGTTGCTCTAATAGTGGCTTTTAGCTCTTCTGAATTGTTGGGTCTGGTGTATTGCATCTTCTTCTTCACAATACCCCATAGATTTTCTATGGGGTTAAGGTCAGGAGAGTTTGCTGGCCAATTAAGAACAGGGATACCATGGTCCTTCAACCAGGTACTGGTAGCTTTGGCACTGTGTGCAGGTGCCAAGTCCTGTTGGAAAATGAAATCTGCATCTCCAAAAAGTTGGTCAGCTGCAGGAAGCATGAAGTGCTCTAAAACTTCCTGGTATGTGGCTGCGTTGACCCTGGACCTCAGAAAACACAATGGACCAACACCAGCAGATGACATGGCACCCCAAACCATCACTGACTGTGGAAACTTTACACTGGACTTCAAGCAACGTGGATGAAGTGCCTCTCTTCTTTTCCTCCAGACTCTGGGACCTTGATTTCCAAAGGAAATGCAAAATTTACTTTCATCAGAGAACATGACTTTGGACCACTCACCAGCAGTCCAGTCCTGTTTCTCTTTAGACGCTTCTGACGCTGTCTGTGGTTCAAGAGTGGCTTGACACAAGGAATGCGACAGCAGAAACCCATGTCTTTCATACGTCTGTGTGTGGTGGTTCTTGAAGCACTCACTCCAGCTGCAGTCCACTCTTTGTGAATCTCCCCCACATTTTTGAATGGGTTTTGTTTCACAATCCTCTCCAGGGTGCGGTTATCTCTCTTGCTTGTACACTTTTTTCGACCACATCTTTTCCTTCCCTTCGCCTCTCTATTAATGTGCTTGGACACTGAGCTCTGTGAACAGCCAGCCTCTTTAGCGATGACCTTTTGTGTCTTGCCCTCCTTGTGCAAGGTGTCGATGGTCGTCTTTTGGACAACTGTCAAGTCAGCAGTCTTCCCCATGATTGTGTAGCCTATAGAACTAGACTGAAATACCATTTAAAGGCTTTTGCAGGTGGTTTGAGTTAATTAGCTGATTAGAGTGTGGCACCAGGGGCCATCAATTTTGAACCTTTTCACAATATTCTAATTTTCTGATATGATGAATTTGAGATTTTCATTTGTTGTCATTTGTAATCATCAAAATTAAACAAAATAAACATCTGAAATATATGAGTTTGTATGTAATGTATGAATATAATATACAAGTTTCACTTTTTAAATGGAATTACTGAAATCAATCTACTTTTTCATGATATTCTAATTTTATGACCAGCACCTGTATGTAGCTTTTAAAGCGTTTCTGTCTGCTCCCCACTCATGACCAACTAAACACCTCATAACATTCAAAACTTTTTTGCACTTATCAATAATCTGCGCATGTCGTATGTTGCATTCACGGTAATGTTTAATGCACTGGGGAAAAAAAGGAAATAACTGTAAAGAATTCAGTTGACCACTAGATGTCAGCAAAGTGCTCAATTTTTAAAGCGAAATAAAATTATTTAGCAGAGATATGCATTGAATAGACATTTTCTTGAAAATATTTCTCTATAATCTCTGTAATCTTTACATGTGAGATATTTAGTGTTGAATTAGTCATTTATTAATATGGTTACTGTTACTTTTATCCTTGATGTGTACGCCCCGCTGCGTGTGTGGCATAGCGTTGGGTTCTGGCTAATAGGGTTAGCTGCTATGGCTAATAGGGTTAGCTGCTATGACTAATAGGGTTAGCTGCAGCCGCAACAGTAACAGCTGCGACATGTCCGAGTAGAAACCTTCTTTGTTTTTCCCCAGGAGCAGCGTTGAATGTCCGCGCTAACGATGGGAAAGTGTGGAATTATGTCTTCAAAGACCGTCCTGGTTTTTTTAAACCTCATATTTTGGGTAGGTTTGCAGATTTTACGATTGTTTTAATTCGTGCGTCACGCAGTGGAGCACCATCCCCCTAAGCTAGCTCACTGCAGTCAGCTGCTAAACTTGCTTTAATGTGCGATATATATATATATATATTTATTTATTTATTTATTTTTTATTTTTTGCAAAACTTTAACGTATTACCGGCCTTAAGAAAATAATTCACCTAAAGAGATACATATTATTATGTTTTGTAATTTCTGCTTATAGTTGATGGCTTTACTAGAAAAGTTTTAGCTGTGTTTGCATTTGAAGTGAGAGTTTAGTTCCTCCTGGAAGTGTCAATAATACAGCTGATCAGAGGATGATGTGGCAAAACTAATTTAAGAGTGTTTTAAAAATGTCCAACTCTCACGGAGAGTTATGTTAAAAGCTCGAAACCAAAGACTACATCTGTGAAGTGCAGCAGCTGTTTTCTTTTGATAATTAATTTAGTCTGTGATGTAAATCATTCATTGTAAATGGCAAATTGAATTTTGAAGTTATTGCATCCCTGCATAATAATGTGCAAATTAAAAAACGAAGTCAATTCAAAATGCATATTATTTATATTTTTGTATCCTGGCATACAATGTTTGCATTAGTTCTGATCATTCTAATTCAATAGAAATATTTGGTAAATGACATATGGATGATGAAGCAAGAGATAACAGTATGCAAAGACTTAACCGGTTTTTGTTTTGTTTTTTCGCTGTAAATCTATAATTTTATCCCATCAGAACCTGACCCTCTATCTATCTATCTATCTATCTATCTATCTATCTATCTATCTATCTATCTATCTATCTATCTATCTATCTATCTATCTATCTATCTATCTATCTATCTATCTATCTATCTATCTATCTCAATAACAACACAAGCAAATAATGCCACCTTACTGCTAAATGGTGTAAAATAAATGAATTCAGTTATATTTTTAAATCCAACAGCACATATTACAGTCTCATGTCAACATGCGGGAAATACTGAGATGGATACAAACTAAAAATCCTCTAAATAACAAAAAAGTGTCTGATCTCTGGTAAATTAATTGGTGGACCTGTTTCTTTTTGCAGCAATTCATATCCTGAAATGTGCCATTTTATATCAGCTGAATTATTAGAATCTCTGTATTGATTGTTAGAAAGCTGCTTCATCATAACCCCTCCCTTTTTCACTCTGTGACCTTGAGCATCTTGGTCAGGAGTACAGCAAGAATGAATAAAACACTTAACGTACGTGGACTGAAACATTACAATAGCGCATGTCGCACATTCTATTGCATTACCTATATAGTAATATTTTGTCTTTGGTATATTTTAATATACCTTTTAATATACTTTGATAAAATCCAGGAGGAACTCTTGCTTCGTTTGACCAGCCGACATTTTAGGAGCTTTGTAAGGCTCTTACTTTCTATGAGTGTTATGGAAGATTCTTATAAAGCTAATTTAAGAGCTTATTCAAACTAAAATAAATATTAGCTGATACAGGTAGTGACCCTCTAGAAGACAAGTTTTCCCTTTTTGAGGAACACCTTTATAAGTCCTGATGTGCCGCAATAACAATGAAAGAGAAACTGCACAGATTTGATACACAAAGGAGGCAGGCTGTGAAGCATAGGAGTGGAAATGAAGTTTTGACAGTAATCTATTTAATGTACATTCTCTTGTTACCGACAGGCCGCTGCAGGCATCCTATGCTATGTTGGAGCCTATGTCTTCATCACTTATGACGACTACGACCACTTCTTTGAGGATGTTTACACTCTGATTCCTGCAGTGATCATCATTGCAGTTGGCGCCCTGCTTTTCCTTATTGGCCTTATCGGATGCTGCGCCACAGTGAGAGAGAGCCGATGTGGTCTTACAGCGGTGAGTGAACCAGAGCCTCAATGATATACTCACTTCACTTAAAGGAATTGTAGATTTTTAATTCTGTTTATTTTACTTTAAAACCCCAAGAAGTGAATAATACATTTGGAAACGGTAACTTGAATAGCCAAACTTCTCTGC